CMCYCMCCYCYCWCAACCCAATTTTTTTTAAATTATAATTTTAAATTTACACTTTATAYCCYTATAATTAGTTAATTAATTTACTTTTCGTCTTTTACTTTTAAATGTTTCATTTTAAACATTTATTAAATTAATATACATAATTGTATATCAATTAAAGCATGTTTAAAAAATACATTTTTATTTTAACAAGTTACACCATTATAATCGTCTCGTTAATACCTTCGAAATGAGTCTAATATTGAATAGTTTTTTACTTAATTATATTATTATATATTATATATACTGTGAAAAAATATTTTTAATATTTACGATTTATACTTTTATAGTTATTTGTTTATATATATACTATATATTTTGGGGTTAGGCTGTCCAAATTGCACTGTATAATATGTTCTTAATTAATATGTTCTTGGGTTTTTTTGAAATATATAAATACATATATTAATTCAACCTTAATCTGAGTTTCTGGACAAGAAAGAGGGTAAGCAGTTGAAATTTCATTCTAAAACCCATCTTTTTGGTCTTTTCATGGCTTATGATCTGTCAAATTTGTAGTTTTCTTTATTGGTTTTGAGTGTTTATCTTAAAACTCAAGTTTCTTGCTTCTTTGCTCTTGGTGTAAATCGAACACATTTGTGGAGTCGTTTAAATAGGTTGGATTTTAAATTGTCATACAACTTTTTTCATCGATAGTCTGTAATTAGAACCATAACTCTTATTTATTCAAATTGTATTAATATGTAAAGACCAAGTGTAGCATATATCATCGTTAAATCTTATTTTATAAAACCAGTGGAACTTCAAAATTGTAAAATTCATGGCTCTCACCGCATTGCGCGGGTACACAACTAGTTATATATTTATTTTCTCAATTGTAACTTCATAGAAAGAAACTTCCATAATTTGTTTGATTAATAAAGAAACAATATCAATCTCTTTGATTGATAAACGTTAAGAAAAATATTAATAAAATTACCAATACATTTTTTTTCTTAATTAAGGTAATACAATTAATATAATAAAATGATTGGCTTATATTAGACCTCACAGTTACCACGAACTAATTAGTTCTTATTTGATTAGGTCTATATATATATATATATATATATATATATATATATATATATTACAAGTTTGTCTTTTTAATCATAATTATTTAAAACAATCAATTAAAACCCATTTTTAAAGTTTGCTAACTAAATTATAATATCAAAGGGATACTATTTTTATTGTAATATTTCTTTATAAAATTATTATTAAAGTAGTGATCCAATCTTTATAATAAAGTAATCTATAAAGACATCTTCAATAGATAATATCAGTTTTACATCACATCTTTAAAGTTTTGGTAACCAATAAGACTACATCAGATCTTAGGGTACGTTTGTTTAATAGATGATTTTATTAGACATAATCTTGTTTGATAAAAAAATTTAACAGGTCTAAAATGGCTCAATTAGTTTGATTCGTCTGACCAACAATTCATCCTCCAAACCATTTAGATCACAGTTTTTTCCCACATTGCCCCTCCATTTCTCGCTTCTTCATTCTCTCAAATCGATGCACCAACAACAGTTGATCCTCTTCATTTTCTCATTTTTCCCACGTATCGCCAATGATTGACCCACTTCATTCTCTCGTTTTGACAATTAACCACAGTAACTGGCTACTCTTGATCCTCTCCTGACTCTCAATTTTTCCCACGTACCACCAGTGATTGCAATATGTTCTTTTTTTCTTTCTGATTTATGTGCTACTTTGATTGGTTAAGAATGGGTCATTGGTGTATGATTTATGTGTATATATATATAAGCTGGGCCATCCTGAACTTGAACCAAAGACCTCACCCGTGAAGTAAATCATATATATATATATATATATATATATATATCTATCTTTTCTCATTGGTAAAAATTTGGTATAAATGGATATTGTTATACTAAATTCAATGTACTACTATTCATTACATCAAATTTGATGTAATATTTAGTGTACCGTTGAAGTGTTCTAGTCTCATATGTGGTATTCAGTGTAAGATTTAGTATCGATGTTTTGGAGTGGTCTAAAAATATAAATATCTTTTAGACTATTTTTAAATTCGGACTATTATTTTTAACTAAAAGTTTAAGTTTACCTAAATAATTCATTATTACTAAAATACAATATCATTTTTAACTCATTTTTCACATAAAAATGGACTCACATTAAATCCTTTATTTACCACATATCTTTCAACATATTAATGAACTAGATAACAAATAGATCCACAAATATAGTGATTTGAGATTATCCGGGACCATTTTTTTACAGTTGAAACTTCATAGCGAAACGTACATTCATAATGTTTTTGCTGTGAAGGTTCAATTTTTTTTACGTTTACAGTATTTTTTTGTAAAGTTTCTAGTATAAGAAAGTGATATTACGAAAACAGAGTAGTATCACATAAACGCAACCTTAACTATAGTTTTGTTTTGATAAATATATTTTCTTATATGGAATCCACCATCACTTCACTTTCAACATTTACTTGTCTCAGTAGGTTTCCTTCCCTATTTCATCATACTTTTATTCTCTTCAATTATAAAAAAGAAGGGAAGAAAAGAAAAAGAAGAAGAAGAAGAAAAAGGCCAAGGTAGAAGATACCGTACAAGCCGTTAATGCATAGGCAACCACGTGAACGTGAAATCTCCATTTCTAACACCACGCATTCTCTGTAATAATCCCTTTCTTCCTCCTCAACTCCATCCTGCCAGCTACCATTTCATGTGACCTTTGCCCCACTTCATTCTCTCCACTAAATTATAAGAATCATCCGCCATTTTTGTGGGTTTTCTAACACAAAGTCACAGAACAAATTACATGTCTGTGTGTTGTGGAGTTGAGTGGTTTTTAGCTCTGGGTTGTCTCCGATGGGCTTGGAAGCGGTGTACTTATATCGGCGGTGACGACAGTGCTTCTTGGCCAACTGCCACCGCCGAAGAGTTCGAATCCGTCCCACACCTCTGCCGCATCATCCTTGCCGTATACGAGGAAGATCTCCACAAACCCAAATTCCCACCACTTGGTGGATACCGATTAAACCCCGATTACGTCGTTAAACGAGTTACCTACCAGCAAACCCTCGGCCAGGCGCCGCCTCACCTGATTTACCTCGACCACACTCGCCGTGAGATCGTACTAGCTATCAGAGGATTGAATTTGAAGAAAGAAAGCGATTACAAGCTGTTATTGAACAATCGATTAGGGATGCAGATGTTTGACGGTGGATATGTTCATCATGGGCTATTGAAATCGGCGGTTTGGTTGTTGAATCAGGAATCGGAGAATCTGAAACGATTATGGGTGGAGAATGGGTCGTGCTACAAGATGGTGTTCGTGGGTCATTCACTTGGGTCAGGTGTGGCGGCATTGATGACGGTGATCGTGGTGAATCATAGGGATATGCTTGGTGGGATCCGGCGGGAGATGGTGAGGTGTTTTGCTCTTGCTCCGGCGAGGTGTATGTCGCTCAATTTGGCAGTCAAGTATGCCGATGTCATTTATTCAGTTGTGTTGCAGGTACCACTTATTACACCACTAGTTATGATTTGAAATCTAAATCGGTATGTATATCTTCTTCGTATCATTTTGCATCAAATCCTTGTTAATTAGAGATGGAAATTTGTTGGCATTGCTTCAAAACTTGTGTGTTCTTATGTTCTTTTCCAACTAAAAAGAATTGAGCAAGTTTTGTCCTTTCTTTTTGCACAAATTTGCGCAAGTCGAGTTCTTCGTGGAAACATCTGCTCGATTCTTTGAGGTACCCATCAGCCAAAATCATGAGGAAAGGGCACTTTGCATACTAGAATCAAGATTTCAGTTTCTTGATGCAATTTAGCATTGTGATCTTAATATAACCATTTGGGTACAGGATGATTTCTTACCAAGAACACCCACCCCATTGGAAGACATATTCACATCGATTTTCTGGTAAGTTGTTGAAATTACCATTTTGGGAAGTGGATTATGACGATTAACCGGGCCTTGATGCTTTCCACAGCTTGCCCTGCTTGATCTTTTTGGTTTGCTTGAGGGACACTTTCGTACCCGAAGGTCGGAAGCTACGAGATCCACGAAGATTATATGCACCTGGCCGAATCTACCATATCGTTGAGAGAAAGTTCTGCAGGTAATCCTCACCAACACTAGTCATCTATCCTTCACTTACAGTTACTGCTGTATATCGATCCTGAATCAAGATTTTACGGGGCCACCATAGGCAGGCCTTTTAATCCCAGAGGCAGGTTAGATGAACATCATTGAGTTAAGGTCTTAACCAGAAGATCCTATCACATATTTGATTTCTTGAGGGATTTTTAGTATTTCATTCTTTTGGTAGTTTCATAAGGGTTATTTAGGAGAATAAGCATCTCACATATTATTTTTACGACCTTTTGATGGATTTTGAGGCATTTTTCTGTCAGGCAGGGACGTTAGTGAATCTGTCAGATGATCATGTGCTTAGAAAAAATTGTCGAAACGTTTTTCTCGTTTTTACCACTCAAGGGTAAAATAAGACGTGACATATGTAAGACGTCTCTAGGTGTCGAGATTGACTATAATATGACATTGTAAGAGATGGTTAGATGAAACTGCACTTCACTTCACGTGTTCTTCTGGTAGAAGGAAACTAGGATTTTAGGCCATTGACCTTAAATGAGATGTTTATAACCACAAGGGTGATGTCTGATTGGTTTGAGCTTGACCCAAAAGTCAAAAGTACCTGGAGGTCTCAGGTTCAAATCCAAGGAGAAATAAAAATCCCCTGGTGGCCACAGAGGTTCAAATGCGGTGACTCCGAGCTATCTGCAAAGCAGGTGGTCGCCCTGGGATTAGTCGGCTCGTATAGCGGGTTGGATATCCAGGTTAATAAAAAAAATGAGATGTTTATTAACAACATAACCTTTCGACAAGTTTAGTGGTAGTCTGGTGTATTGAAGCGGCATTCTGTTGTACGGAAATAGCATTCTAAAAAGTGTGTCTGAAGGTCATGGATTTAAAAGAAAATTTTCAGAACGTCATTCAACCAACAAACCCAAGGAAAATGTCAAATCATGTTGGTGTGTAATTGTCGGTTGTGCCCCTGACCAAACTTGAGATGACTGTAAACAGATGTGGGAGATACCCTCCGGAGGTCAGAACTGCAATTCCTGTTGATGGTAGATTTGAACATATTGTTCTATCGTCGCATGCTACAGCCGATCATGCAATCATCTGGATTCACAGAGAAGCGGAGAAGGCTTTAAACGTAAGTTTGTTATTTCCCATTAGAATAGTTATTAACTGAACGTTTTAACGATCATACCCGTCTTTATGCTTGCAAAATAGCCATCGGTCTTCTGAAAATAGCTAGTTGTTGGTTACTTTTAGTTGATAATCTAGCTGATAAACTAGTCCCAATCGGCAAATTAACTGACAAGCTAGATGATAATGTAAAATGATCTAAAAAGATATGTTTATTAAATGTATTGAAAAAATGCAAGGGGCATGTTTGGAAAAAGTGCAGAAAGAACCTTGCAGCTTAAATGATTTAATGAAACGCTACTTGAAGTGACTAACCAAACAAGACTTTTCCATAAAAAAGAATAAGAGTTGGCTTATGGTTGTCAATCGACAAATTTTCAAGCTTGAGATGCTCTCATGAGATTTGACTTATGGTCAAAATATCATATGAAAATTGCATGCAGTTACTGAAGGAAAAGGATCCAGAAAGTATTATGATGGCACCAAAGGTACAAAAATTCGATCGGTTGCAATCGATCGAGAAAGAACACAAGGACGCTTTAGAAAGAGCCGTGAGCCTCAACATACCGCATGCCGTGAAGACCACCGATGAAAACGAACCTCGAGAATCCATCGATGAAGAAGAATCAACAGCCGACAAGTTGGATGCGGAGCATCAAAGTGGAGATACGATATCAAAACCTGGGAAAACTAATTGGAACTTTTTGGTAGACAGATTGCTCGAAAGGACTGAATCGGGTAAGCTAATAACAAGAGAAGCTGATTCATGCTAACATGTAATTGAAAACTACGTTTTGTGAAATCCATTCTTGTCGAGTCACCCATTTGATTATTTTTTTGGTTGATAGGGTTTATTCACCCGTTGTATAAAAGTGCAGATACATGAAGGAACCTATAATATACACAGATCTTTCTTTGTCAAATTATTTTTTAATTTTATGAATTACTAATTAATATATACTAAAAATAAGAGTTGATTTCGTAAATGGGTTTGGTTTTTCATTACTAGAAGAATTATTTCATTTATTTAGAGATGGTTTCGTTTTGGTTCTCTACTCACAAGAGGGGCGTTTTGGTCAACTTACAAGTAAATTTCACTACAGATACAAAATTCATGCATATGACTAAAAATAAGAAACCCTACTTAAATCGAAATACAAAAAGATGAAATAAGCAGAGCAACCATTTTGCAAGCGTTACAGGATTCTTTTTTTAACTTGCTGAAGCTGTTTGTACAACGTAAATCTACTTCTGCTTCTGAACAACATCAAGTCTGCATGGCATGGTAGTTCTCCAGTTCCTTGTCAAGTTCATCAGCAGACTTGTCAACTGCCGCCTTCCGTCCTCGACCACGCCCACGACCACCACGTCCACGTCCACGTCCACCACGTCCATTTACTGTACCACCACGGCTTCTCTGACTACAACACATAAACCAATACCAAGATTGTAAGAATGTGCACAAACCATTTCAAACCAATCAGTAAATCTCACAGGTAAACGGTCCAGAAAGATTAAAGAATCTATTTTCCATAAACAAGCTCTATGATTGAAAATAACAACTTGATAAATCCTGAAATACAGTGAACCCCATGTTTTCAGCTCTATGATTGAAAATAACAACTTGATAAATCCTGAAATACGGTGAACCCCATGTTTTCAGCACTTGCTATTTTGCACCCATTTTTACCAATCTTTTAACATTTGATGACATGAATGCCAAGTTTATCATCCCCTTTGCTATTAACATTTCGTAATTAGCATCCACATCATCAATTGTTACAAAATCTGCAGATTACCTATCAAAATTGATATAAAATAGAAAAAATTTATACTTTGTTACACTAAACAGAAACTACACCAAAACTTTGTTTTAATTTGATGCACTTTGCCCCTATTGATTGAAGAAATCACACAAAACAAAAGAAAAGAGGGTACTAGATGCCCAAACAATCGCCTACAGTGCCCCAACAATGACTTTATGCAAGGATATGTTTCAGAACCAATCCTACACATTATCTAGCACAACATCCGTCATTACCTTTTTATATAAAGTTAAAGTGTGAGTTTAGTGTTTGTGATGATCAAAGTGACATGCACAAAAATGGGAAGTCAATAGATTCCTCTGAAGAGATTAAAGGGATTAGGGCAAGCCCAACTCGTTAGCCAGGGAAGTACCTTGGTTTTGCTATATTAAACCCGTTGAACAACGATCACCTCTAACTAAGAGAGATCAAGAGGTAAGACACGACCAAGAAGGGGATTAACAAGTTCTTGGTAGAAAAAACAAAATAAGCTTTCCACAAGTCAAAAAGCACCTACCCAGATGCACGATTAAATGCAGCTGCTCCTCTTCCACGACCCCCTCCCGGCCTGCAAAAAGAAAGCATTATTGAGCAGGACTTCAATGACACAGTACAACATTAGTTTGTATGAACAAGATAGCATACATCATCACAACTGTCCTATGTCCATTTACTCCTCCAACCACATTCACACGAGGTGAAAGCGGAACCTCAGACTTGGAGCCTACAATCTCAATCTTCATTGGCTTCCCATCCAATTGTACATTATTGTAACGATTGAGCGCTTGAAAAGCATCACTTCTTCGAGCAAACATTACTTCAGCTGTTCCCTGCATGAGTGAAGAAAATGTCACAACTACCATACAATCTCCATATACAATTCCAGTGCATGCTATTATTGCATTAACGGGAGACGGGGTGTTGGAGCATATTGAACGACGACTATCAAGGTGTGACCGATATAACTACATCCCAGCGCCAACCCCATCATGGTGGCTAGAAAGACAGGGTGGCATAAATGCAAAGAAGACATGCATCTTAGCAGTCATGAACTAGGCTGTTAAAACTGACAAACCATGTGTATATTTGAATAACAGTATCTTAGTTGAGCCTGACTTAATAAAATGTTGGTGAAAACGGATCGGAAACATCAAATGGCATTCAAAAGAGATGTGAAATCATAACAAAACTATGAACTCAAAAGTAATTGATCCTGGACTTCAGAGCTTATATTTTCCAACTACTGGTGTATTTCACATAAAACATAAATTTCCCAAAGTACAAATTCCAAAACAACTTACAAAGAAGAAAACAATTAAAAGAAGCTTGTATTTTACAGCTAGGACTTTTTGAAGTTGCATCTGTCATCTATAATATAAATCTTTTACCAAGCATGACACTTGTATATGGAGAGAAGCAAACAACCAAACTTTTTCTGTCTCATCAACTTCTAAATCTAAATTGAGGACAAGAAATCTGATGCAATAAAAGAGACAACACCCTGAGTATATATATGTCAAGAAAAGAATAGCACAACTTTTAGAGCACAACAAATCTCTATTCGAACCCCCTTTACTTGTGGAAGCACATCTTAGTTTTGTCAATTATGTTACGACCAGAGTCCAACTCATGACAACCAGATCCAATAATCAAACATCTAATTAATACAAAGAATTTGAGACCTGAGTTACTTACATTTGGACGTCCACTTTTGTCATAATGAATTGCATATCTTTTCAGCTCCCCAATCTCAGAAAACAGTTCCTGAGCTCCAAATCAATTGCCAAGTAACTTCATGAAAAGCTCGCTAGAATGGGGAACATAAAATCCATATAAAAACACATTGCTGAAGTTGTACCCTTATATCTTCGTTTGTGACTCCTATGTCCAAGTTGGAAACATATAATTTTGCACCATTGTCCAGTCCTGGTAGACCTGCTGCTTTTAGGCTTTCTTCCAACAAGTCACGCTGCCATGGCAAATTCTTGGGTCTGCGAAAAGACTGGTGCGAGCATACCAAAAAAGATCCAGGTGGGTACAAATACATGTCAGCATAATACCATAAAATAAGAAATTCACCATTCTTCATGAGCTAATCAATTTCATGGTATCAGGAACTATCCATAGCGATTTCAAATTAAGGAATGAATCTGGAGATGCAAATATTGAAAAGATGACGTATCTTGACACTGACATAAATCAAGCTACGAGTAAGGATGGTTGGGAGTTGAAGACTAAACCCACTGCATAAAAACGTGTGCTATTGTACAGGAGAGAGCTCCAGTTCTGCAGTTCAATGAAGGAATCTCCTTTGCAAAAAACGCCATGAACTAGGACAGTAACTGAAAATCTCACCCAAGAGGGATTCCAAATATAGCAATATAATGCATCATGAACTCCACTTCCAACCAGTAATCACAAAATTAAAGCGACCACGACTAAATAGTTATGATCAGAGATGGGTATGGATAGCCCTTGATTTCTTAGGAGATGATTAACTGTTGAGAACTCAATCGTTTTGTAATTGGAAGTAGTGAAGCCCCTTTACATGACATGCTAGGATGTAGCACTATAACTTAAGAAGCCACCATAGAATATCCGAAATCATCAAGTAATTCGTCGTAAAATCCTGAGAACAACTCATAATCAGGATCCATGAACATCATAAGATGGCAATTCTTTTGTGGTGGAGCCAAAATGAACTTCTCCATGAACACTATACTGTCAAATACCCCTCAAGTGTGAATTTGAAAAAGAGATGTTATGGCGTCCTGAAGTTTGTGTTTCAAATCAGATTCTCAATCAAATGAATAAGAAATCCATAATTGTGGGCTTGCCTTGGCAATAGTATAAGCTGATGGACGAGCATTCACCCTGAGGGGACCTTTGCGAGGTGGCCCTGTGGGTCTTCCGGTACCAAATGACCCTCCTTGTCCTCGCCTACGGGCCTTACCTCGCCCTCTACCTCTATCAGTAGTGCGCCTGCTTTTTATCCTATCATCAAGGGACATATCCAAAGATGCCATTGCAAAGTAGACTCTGCAACTTTGTTTTCAGAAACAAAAATTCCTGTCAAAATAGAAAAAGACTTGTCAAAAACCAACGTCTGTTCTCAATCATATGCATGTAAAGTAGTTCCATAACATGCAATTGAGTAATTTAATCAATCAAATATAACTTTCTTGGAAAGAGGCACTACCTACAGACGGTTATATTTTCAGCATGCGATAAAAGCTTAGATAAAGTTCCATGTACCCAAGTTCTAGAAGGTTTAATAGGCTATTACATATATTACTGTGGTCGTACGGCAAAAGACAGATCCTATCGACTGTTAGTGACCCGTATAACAAAAGAAAGATCCCAAATCCCAGGTTTACATAGTCAAATAATATAACTATATCTAGGTTAATTAGAAGAAACGATATAACCATAACACGATTGACCGATTTAGTGACCCGTATAACAAAAGGAAGATCCCAAATCCCAGGTTTACATAGTCAAATAATATAACTATATCTAGGTTAATTAGAAGAAACGATATAACCATAACACGATTGACCGATTTAGTTAAATAGGCAGTACTTCAAAGATGATTGATATATTGAACTACGGTCACACGTAAAAAGAATCAACCTATTTTCAAATGTCCATACCCCGCAACGAATCACATACAGATCAATCGATCCGATGCGCATACTGCTCTGCGTCTATGATTCTGTATGTATAAATAAATGAACAAGCGAAAAAAACTTACCTGAAATACAGCAGGTGTTAAACAAATCTCTGAATTTTCGGTACGATCTGCGACGAAGAACCGATTGCAGAAATCGTAAGCAGACGAAGAGAGAGGTTAGAGGGAGAAAAAGACTACAAGTATGGAAGAAAGGGGCATAGATCGTATGATGATTGTGAATAGAGATCGGAGAGATACGTTTTGAGGAATAGAATTAGGGTTTCAAAGAGGAGAAGAGAGAACTTTTGATTTTGATTTTGATTTTGATTTGGGGAAAGATCTTTTGACGAAGAAATTTGGGTAGCGGACGGTGAAGGTACCGAGTTACCGACAGGGGTGAGCATAGGCGGTACCCGTCTTTTTATCGGAACCGGAACCCAAACCGGTTAGAACGGTTCTTAAATTTTTGAAACTGGAATCGGAACTGTTGGGAACCGGTTTTGGTTTCGGGTACCCGCTTCCTAAAATATTAAAATTTTGTTATTTAGAAATAAAAAATAAAACATTGCCAAAACACTAAATAACTAAGTAAGAATACAAATTATACAGAATAATGGTTACAAATATTGTTTAACGATTACAAATCATAATAGACTAATAGAAAATGTTCAAATTTTAACAATTACATACTATAATAGTAAATGTTTAAAGTTTAACGATTACATACTATGAATCCAAGTGAACACACAATTTGAAAAAATATGAATCATTCTATMTGAAGAATTTAGATGAAGAATGAAGATGACGGCGTGCTTTCAAGATGTAAACCTAATGTAAATTTGGTGTTCAAAAATAATTATTATTATTTTATTGAAAAATATCGGGTACCCGACGGGTAACGGTTCTGAAAAATTGAGAACCAGAACCGGAACCATTCTCAATCGGTTCCGTATTTTAGGAACCGAAACCACTCATATCGGTTCCGGTTCCATAGCCGGGTACCCTCTTCCGCTGCTCACCTCTAGTTACCAAGTACCGATTACCGAATACCGCGTTTGGGCCTTTGTTGGGCCGTCACGCCCTACTTTGTCTGTTGCTGTTAGTGATGGTCAAACCGGCCCGACCTGATCCGGGATCATTGGAGGATCAGAACCGGGACCGACAAAGGACCGGCTCAGGCCAGGACAGGTAAGAACCTGTTATAGGACTGGAACCATGACCGGTTCATGTTTTGGGGTGTTTTGAGGGACCGAGACCGACTAGGACCGGTTATGGACCGGCCCGGCCTGGCCCGATTTTTCAAAAATACTAGCCGTTTTATAGCCGTTTTATGACCGTTTGGTGACCCTTTTTTGTCGTTTTTGCCTTCTAAACACTCCATATAAGTGTCATGGTTGAAATTTGTATATACCAACTTACAAACGCAAAAAAAACGTTCACAATTCTCGGTTTCTCGCTATATTTTGTGACTTCGACTCGTATTCGTTTATCGCTTCCACTTCTTAATTCTCATTTCTTTCTCTCTTTGTCTTACAAAATGACCGGTGAACAACAAGATGCATCAAATGAACAAGTTGCTCAAGTTCTCCCCGAACACGGACAAAAGTCCGAGATTTGAAATTCATACAACTTGGTGGTCCTCACGAATGGGGAAAAAATGCACATGAAAAATATGCCAAGCTCTCCTTACATAGGAAGGACATTCTACTTTAAGGTGGCACATCGAAAAAACGTGCCCGGTTTAAGGTCGGGGGGCGATTCAAGCCAACCGATACTTGACACTCAAGGTCAAACATGGTCCTATGATGTCAAGTTGAACTGAGAAATGATAACATAATGTGTTATTCAAGTCGGGTTGTCTTTTGGACATTTCGACAACCCTTACTTTACGAAGTTGATCCAAAAACCACTACAACCACGATACAAGCCAGTATGTCGTCAAACCCTTAGACGTGATGCAATTAAAATGTGGAAAATGTGTCGAGGTGAAATGCAACAAATGCGACAATACCATTACCCACAAAATTTTATTGGAAATCTTGATTGGCCCGTGGTTGAAGGATTGTATAATATTTTAGGTTATTTTAAAAATGCGACAACATTTTTATTCGGTATTTATTATACAACAAGTCTTTACTTTTAAATCAATTATATATTTTGGCAAAGTAAGATTGCACAATACGAAGACCATCACGATTGGGGAAGGTTGATGAGTTCAATGAAAAAAAAATGTTAAAATATTTTATGAGCATCTATTTGTTTTTCTCTATGCTATGACGTTAAACTCGTATTTAAATGTTATTGGTGTTGAAGTTTTAATTACACAAATATGTGTGACCTTTGGTTTAGGTACAACTACGGATAATTCTTTTAAAATTGAACAAAAACGTTTGTTTAATCATAATTTCCAAGATTTATTTGATCATTATAAACATTTTTATGGGGGAGGAAACCAACAACAAAGCTCTTTAAGTCGTGGATTTGTAGGTTCTAGTTCTTCTAGTGGTCATGACCAAAGTCGGAAAGAGTTGATAATTAATTTAATGAACGAGGTTTTAAATGAATCAAGTAAAAAAAGTAAATTTGATAACGATTTGGGATATGTATGTGCATACTAACTTTATGGTCGCATGCCCCGTAAATGATGTCGAAGATTTAAAAAAATTGATCTATTAAATTCTTGGAAACAAAAGCAACCTCGATTTTGGCATGCATGGCACATGATATACTAACAATCCAAGCTAGTACTGTAACTTCGGAGTCCGCTTTTTCTCTTAGTGGCGGGATCATTTCGATATGCCACACAAGACTAAACCCGGAGTTCATGGAGTGTTGCATCTATTTGAAGGAATACTTGGATAGCGTTGATAGAATTCAACACACGACATCGTTAGAGGTGGAGATTGAAGCTTTGGAGGAAAATTAGATCGCCATGAGACTAAGCACACCACCAACTACCGGTACCAACGGTACTTACTCACAATATGACGATGGTGAGGAACTCTACATTGATGATCTTAATGACCAAGAGGCTATTAGAAGAATTCAAGAGACTGGAACTCTTCAAATCAATCTGACATGGTTAACCGATGACGAATAAGTGTATTTTCAAATAATTTTATAATGTATTTTTGGAAGAAAATGTAATTTTAATTATAATAAAACACATTAATTTTTTAATTTTAAAAATACTTTCACACGTACAAAATTTACCAAAAAACATGTGGATATCAAAAAATTGAATAAGGGAGTTGGTGGTTTCATGAAGAAATGAGAACCATCGATAGCAGATGGTGTGAAATGTCATACTATTGAGTGGATGGTCATCGTCCACATCTTTATTTTTAGCGACCAAAAAAATGATACCAAGATCAAAAGGGATTGACAAGCCTTCGTATCGGTCAATAGTTTTATTAAAATCCCCTATTGCTTTTATGCAAGAGGGATGAGCATGGACACCACGACCATGAATCATTTATGGTGATTGAGGTACAAAGACCTTGGTGAATGTAAGAAGAATAATTTTGAATTTTTTTTAAATTTTGTATGCAATAAACACTAAATAACATGATCATCTAATATATGATTCTTTAGGCTATAATGCTTCAAAATTCTATCTTTAGTGCATCTTCCTTTAGCTGATGCTTCCTTCCTACAGACAAACGAGCGTTTGGTATGCATATATGATTGAACAGGACAAAACAAAACAAAACAAGAGGGTAGGACTGGACAGGACTGGATAGAATAAGTGAATGTCTGGTGTTTGGTACGACAAGGACTGGATGTAACAGAACTAGACAAGTTACCCCAAAAGTTATTTGATGATTTTAAATATTATATTATAGTTATAATTAACACAAATAAAGTAAATAATTAGATAATTTAATTTATAAATGTTTTTACACAATTTTCATATAAAAGAATACATACATATATAATGGTACCAAATTTGAATAAATTTTTTGATATAATTGATGGTAGTAGTGGTGGTGGTTTTGGTTATGGTGGAGGTGGTGGTGGCCGATGGTAGTAGTGGCGATGGGCGGTGGTAGTTGGTGGCTGATGGTGGTTATGGAGATAGAGGCAGCAGTGGTTGGTGGACAATAGTGGTAATAGAGGACGTAAAGATGGTGGATTGTGTTGCAGTATATGAGGAGTTGGAGGTGACCAACGTGGTAGTGTTGGTGGTAATTGGTGGTGGTCGATGGCCGATGGTGGTTGTAAAGGTGGCAATGGACGGTGGTAATCGGTGGTTGTGAAGGTGGTGAAGAAGGTTGTTGTAATAAATGAGGAGTTGGAGGTGGCGAATGACAGTAGTGCTGGTGGCAATGAACGGTGGTGGTCGGTGGTCGACTATGATAGAGGTGGTGATTGACGATGGTGGTCGGTGGTTGTGGAGGGGGTGGAGGATGTTGTTGTAGTGGAAGAGGATGTGGAGGTGATCGTTTGTGGTGGCGGCGGCCGAAACTATCAGTGATGACCATTAAAACAAAGACCATATTAAGATTATATATCAAACTGGGGTAGATTAAAAATATTTTAGTTTTTATCTCATTCTTGTCCCATCTTGTTCCACCTATTTTAGTGGAACAAGAAAAAACATCTTTTGTCCTATGTTGTCCCACCTTGCCCCAATTCTTGTCTTTGTCCCATGTCGCGCTAAACGTGGGACAGTGAGTTCTTGTTCTGTCCCATGCTGGGCCAAACATGGGACAGTGAGTTTTATCCCATCCTATACTGTCCCGTCTCATGTACCAAACATAGCCTCAAGAATAAATCTGGCAAGATTTCAAAAAGACCACACCATGTGAAACATATGTAGAATTAAAGGGTTTGCACGAGTCAATATTTCAAGAAGGTAAACCTAGACTAAGATAGAGAGAATACAAGCTTGATAAAAAATAATGTCACTGAGAAGTCATCCAAGGATTTATCTTTTGTTTTATTTTTGTATCGGATTATTACACATATGCAGCCATGTAGCACTAATTGTGCATGTAAGCAAAATAAATAATAAGGATGATCGGTTTAAAAGGTAACCCGTTACCCATTACTATGATAGGTAAATTTTTAAAAGTACAATGTCTTGATAAAAAATAATTTCGAAGTACAATTGTAATAAGAATAACTAAAAGTACATGCTATAATAGGAAAAATTATTTCTTGCATTTTGCACTAATTAATAAAAGCATCTCCAGATTCTTTAAAAATGAAAAAAATAGGATTTTGGGTAACTCTTTAACTAGTTATGTACCCTTGCAATACGACGAGAAATAAAAATGGAACAAATTTTATGAGAACTTGTGGGATTCATAAAA